GTGTGTGTGTGTGTGTGTGTGTGTGTGTGTGTGTGTGTGTGTGTGTGCGTGCCCTCTCCTGTCCCTGCAGCCTACATCCACTCCAACCAGATCATGGGCTGGGGAGAGAAGGCCATTGAGATCCGCTCCGTGGAGACGGGACACCTCGACGGAGTTTTCATGCACAAGCGAGCTCAGCGACTGAAGTTCCTGTCGGAGAGGAACGACAAGGTGAGTCTGAGTACACCTGGACATTTGTGTCCCTCAGTGTTTGTCCCTCAAAACATTTACGACTTCAGGGATTTCCTTGCCAGTGAAATCAGCCAAGGTAACGGCGTAAGGTTTCATAACAATTGTAACGTTACGTAACAAGCGTCAGAACATTATGTAGCAACGTAACGCTACAGCGTAAATTGCCCGTAGCAGACTTTTTTAATGTAACAAGCGCAACAATGTCACGTAACAACATAATATAACAACATAACTAGCATAATAAATAACAATCGCCGTGTTGCGTAACAAGTTCTCACTTGTTATACGTGTTGATATAAGATGTAACTCTCAATAACGGTCGTTCGTTACGCTACGTTACTTACTCAGACCAAATGCAAAACATTTTCCTTGACTGGATTGGATACGGAGTTCATTCCGATACTTATATTAACCTAAATGTTGTTTAAATATGTATCTGACACACTGCAATGAATTCAGTATAATTCCAGTATAAAACATTTTCTTCTGTGGTGTATCACCTTAAAAACTCCATTTAATGATATTTTTAAGATGGACATCTCACACATAGTTCAGCACTGTGGCTTTAGCCTTTGATCAGTTTCACAATCAATAGATGGATAAATAAATGTAATATCATATCAGGTGTTCATGCTTTAACGCCGTCCGTCTCCTTCCCTGCAGGTTTTCTTCGCCTCGGTGCGTTCTGGAGGCAGCAGTCAAGTCTTCTTCATGACCCTCAACAGAAGCTCCATGATGAACTGGTAACCTTTCTCCTTCGACCCACAACCCTCCTCTTCTTCATTCTGAACATCGCCCAGACATCAGGAGAGAAGGATGACAGTGTGTGTGTGTGTGTGTGTGTGTGTGTGTGTTTGTGGAGGAAATCAACGAACTGCTGAACAGACGATTGAGCCCCCCCCCCCCCCGTAAAGATACCCTCCAACTGTAGGGGGCGCTGCAGGCCTCATGGATGCCTTCGCCCTTCCCTGTTGGGCGGATGGTTGTTCTCAAGGGTCTTGATCCAGGCTTTAAAGGACACTGACATCATGCCGAGTAGCCTTTTTTGACTTCCCCCATTTGACTAGATGGGGAGCCGTGGAGAAGTTCTCTGTGTAGCACATTCATGAGTTCTTACTGGGTGTTCACACTGCGAGTGCCGTTCGCCGTTCGCGCTGACTGCGTTTACTGCGGTGACTCGTCTTTTACTGCGCGTGTTTTAGTGAGTAAACATCGCTGGTTATTAACGTAGCATCGTTGGAAGAAGAAAACTCGGATGCAGCAGTTTTTAAAGTGTACTAAACTGAAGTGTCTCAATATAAAAGTCAGTTTAAATGGTTCTTAGTGGAACCTTTAGTCTTTGGAACCCTTATTTCTAACACTATGGTGTAAAGCCACGGCTGACAACATGACCTCAATTACAATTTACAGCTTCAATCTAGCATTTGACATTCATCATCTGACAATCTGACACGCCTCAAAACCTGAATTGTTCAGTCTCACGCAGATTGTGACTTCATTGGACTGATCTTGCACCTTAAAAAATAGATTTTAATGTTTCATGTTCATGCATTTAATAATGAACCTTTACAGAAACAACAAAACCTAATGCGGGACGCACGTCATTTTCCACTGACCAGATGTTGAATTCAGCTTATAGATATCATGGTCCTTGTTGTTGTTCTCATCTAAACCACTTCAATAGATGTTTTCTAGACTAACGTCTTGTAGCAAAACCTTTCAGCGGCGTCTTCGCTGCGCTGTCGGATGTTTTCTTTGTAAAGCAAAAAAAATGACATCAGAAAAGTTGCACGTTGTTTCCCTGGTCGAAGTGAATGGACTCGATGACGCCGTTGCTCACGGTGTGAACACTCACTTTGAGCGCTGCTGCTGAACAACACCTTCCCCTTTAGGAGAAAACAATACCACATAAGAGCAGCGAGAGTCACGGGGGAAATGTCGACATTTTATACCTGTCGCTGAGGATGCTGCACGGTTGGTTGCAGCTACTTCGTCCTGGTGTGTTTCTGGGAGGGGACAAGGAAGGTTGTAGATATTGTATTATTGCTGCAACAGCAACACAATAACAAAAAAAATATCTTCACCTCATTTCTCACAGGAAGAACTTGGCTTACAGTAGTTGCCAAACTTCTGGATGTTTTTTCTGCCGTTTGTTTGTTTCTCTCCACCTCTTTCTGTCCCTGCTGTTCTGTGTACGCTGCACATGTGTAAATACTCACTTTGATGTTAATGACGGAGTTCGCAAAAGCAGATGACACTGAAGAAAAAAAATAATATCGGTCTCGCTTTTTCTTTTTGTCATACTTCTGTAAATCTGTCTGTTTCGCTCAGATGGGACGGCTTTTCTTTTTCTTTTGTGACGAGCGAAGACTTGCACAAACGTTTTCCTCCGTAGTTCATCACTGTTGATTTAGTTGTGCATTTTTTGCATGGTGACATACATGTTTGACCTGTCGTCACTTGTTATGAATTGTAAGTTTTAAGGCAATACACGGACGGGTCTGACTGTAGAAGCTGCACGCTGAGAGTCAAACTTTCTACACTGAGCTGTAAAGTGAACGTTTTTTGTTTTTTTTAAATTGTAAGAATCAGCTTAGCATGTGGGCTTTTTATCTCACGATTAAGTCAAGATTGTACACTGGATAACTACAAGTTTACCATTAAATTTATATTTTAGGCTTTTTTTTTTGTTTATGCTCACACAAGGAGCGAGCAGGACGGGCTCGGCATCACTTTAGGATGGCGTTTTCTATTTTTATTTTATATTTTGCTGGGTTGACGACGTAAACGCCGACGTTTGTGGGATTGCGTTCAGGCTGTGAGAGGAAAGCGGTTCACCTTTTACTTGACATTTCTTTTCTTCTTCGTTGATCTTAAAGGGTGTGATTGAGGCCAACTGAAGCCTTTTACATGTGCAGGATGTTAGCATTAATCAGCACCCTGTGAATAAAGGTCAGGAGGCAGGGTCCGTGTGAGAGACCGTAGATTTAAAAAACAAAAAAAAGATATATATACTGTAAGAATTTTCATTATATCTTACTGATCATTTTAGAGAAAGACAAAAAAACAAACACTTATTAAAGCTTAGTTGTCTTTCTACACAATAGAGAACATAGCTATAAGAATTTCTTAAAAAAAAAAAAACAATACAATGTTTTTATTGTGGTATTATTTGTATTTCAATTTTTGTACGTATCAAGACTGAACGTATGTACGGCTGCCAGCCTGTGTGTGTGTGAGTGTGAGAGAGAGAGAGAGAGCAGGTGTGTGACATGCATGCGAGTGTATGTTTTCACCTTGTCTGAATCACTGGAATCAGTCAAAAGACGACCTCAATCTAGTGACACACATCTGTGATGTTGAAAAACTCTACAAATAAATGTCCTCTCCTTGTACAGCAACACTTCCTGCTTCACTCTCTTTCTTTATGCTGGTTCTGTACAACAACGTTCTGGCACCCTGGGGTGTTGTTGACGGACAACTCACTGTTGAGTACAAGTGATCAATACTGTGCAGGATTTCAACAACAATACTTTTCGTGCACACTGTGGTGCACAGGATAAAAACATGTAATAAAAGTTAATATTGAATTCGTAGAAACCAAAATAAATCTCACACTTATACTCAGACAACCTCTGATCAAACATTAGTGCTGAAATGAGTTAATCATTAGAGAAAAATCAACTTATTAGTTATTAATAAAGTCAATGTAGAAGCTGACAAGTTGATCTCACTCAAAAAGAAGATCTAGGAGTTGTGTGTACTTTGTATCTACTTGTTAAAGTTACTTAGAATTTGCTGTAGTTTAATTTTGTTAAGATGTTCCAACTTAAAAAGTAAAGTTAACTAAAAGCCATGCTTGCAGCTTTGTGAGGCTTCACACTTATACTCACTGTATTAACAAGTACAGGTTATGCCGGGTTTCTTTTTTACAATCATCAAACATTAGCGCTGAAATGAGTCGATTAAGAGAAAAATCACCTCGTATAAATAATATACTGTAGAATATGACAAGTTGATCTCACTTTTAAAAATCTAGGAAACCCATTGCCTTGAAAGAGGTAAGTACATATAACTATTTGTTTTATGCTTACTTTATATCTACTTGTTAAAGTTACTTACATTTTCTGTGTAGTTGTTCCAACTTAATATGTCAATTGAAATCAACTTGTTCTTTCCAAGGGGATTAAGAGTCATGCTTGCAGCTTTGTGAGACTGCACAGATGCTAACATCAGCATGCTAACATTTGCTAATTAGGAATTGAAAAAAGAAAACTGGAATGTCATTAGTTTTGCAAGTATTTGGCCATAAATCAAAGTATTGGACAAATTAAAATGTTGACCTGATGATGGCGCTAGAAGTAAAGAAAAGAAGCTTCAAACTATTTTTTGCATTTCTAAAAGTAAGAATATTTCTTCCACCACAGCTCATTTTTCTGATGTATATTTTGCTGTGTGGGATAGATAATGTATGTAATGTATTTGTATGACAGTTTGTATATAATAATGTATTTCTACACTATGATATTGCTGCTTTTACTGAAATAAGAGTATTACTTGTAATAAATTGTAATGGTGGTGGAAGAGGGTGCCCTAACTCTTCTTGGGGAGCCCCGGTATCCCGAGAGCCGCTGCTGACCTGGTTGCCATGTTTGCTCACCACAGACCTGGCAACCCTTTCTGCCAGGCTGCCACCGGAACCCATAATCGCCCCCCCTCTCTCCCTCCTCTCTCTCCCTTCTACGGATGCTGCAGTAAAGTTGGCCGCGCATGCGCACATTCGGTCCACTTTTTTTCTTGGAAGGTAAGTGTGGCATGGCGCGTGTTTCTGCCTTGAGGGGGGATAAACGTTGGACCTAACGGCTTTTTTACGTGAACCGTTACCGGTTTCAGAGGTACTATAGTACACGCGTGGTGGTCTGAGCGGCTGGTTTCTAATTTCTCCGTGGATGTGGTCGAGTCGCAGGGTTAAAGGGTGTGGGTGTCCATGTTCCCAGCTAACGTTACCAGGGTTTAATCAAACGGGACATGCGGCCTTCCGAGGAAGAACGCTTGTCATTCTGTCCGCTAATTTACTTTTATTTTTCCCGGTACATATACATATGAAGCCTGCGGTGTATTTGTCATCCCACTGTTTAAGTGTCTTATTAAAAAACGCCCCCACCAACCGCCGTCGCTCGAGTGTCAATCCGCTGGCTTTTTTTTTAATTTCAACGGAGCTGAATGGAGACGGCTAGCGTTAGCATTACGTTAGCTAACATAACGGTACTCGCTTTTTTTTTTTTGTGCAGCTGAAGCGGGCGCATGTTTGGCCAGTTTATAAACACCTTATTTTATAAGCTTATATGAATGAGGCTTGTTAATCTGCTAAATGTCGTTTAGATAAAAAATATAGCACAATATTAGCTGATTTTAGCCGTATACGTGACGTTATTGTTGGCTGGCTGTGTACCGTTAACTGCCGCTGTTGTGAACTCCAGGCCGGCTAACTTGCTCGCGCTAGCTAAATATATCAATTTCCAGAGCCTCGTGTTGTGTCGCGGTCTAAGTTGTCCGTGCTTCCACATGTCTGCATCGCTATATGTTCCTAATTTAGACTTAATTATTTAGACTTTATTTTTAATACAGATTATGAGGGGTGCTACTTTTCACCGAGATCTCGCGATAATCTATTCACAGTTTGGGGCCCTGGAAAGTCTGCAGTGGCCCAGAGCAAAAAAAAGAGCCAGGGACGGGGTCATTAAACTGGCATTTAATAATTCAATAATTAAGCAAAATTGAGACTGTAAAAAGATATTTTTGTTAGGGTGTTAATTGATAATATTCACGCAAAGATTGTGGCAGCTGTCATGTAAACATCAGAACTTTAGCGCTTTAAATTAACTGGTAAACCTGGCAAAACATTACATTTTTGTTATTGTCAACACCTTTTGGTAGGATGTGTAAATGTCTCTTAATCCCACCCTGCACCCTGTCTGTGGCTCTTACTTCCAAATCCACTGGTTTGTACTTTAAATATAAATCTACCAACCAGCAATAGTACATACTGTATTTGTTGGAATATTTTCAGCTGTGTATTTAGCCGTTTTCAACCACCTCCCTAACATCTAGTATCAGTGTCAGTACAGTTTTAGTGTCAAACACTGATGTTGATGCATGTGATATAAATAAGTTATTTGACCTGTAATCAACCTGCAGCATATTTAATATTTTCCTCAGATTGATACTAAGATGATTGATCTGTGAATATCTTGTTGCAGCACCGCTGACCCCATCGCACCATGTCAGATCCCGATCTTGACTTCACGGTTGGCGAGTCTGGCGCCTCCGCCACGTACCCCATGCAGTGCTCTGCTCTGCGTAAGAACGGGTACGTGGTGCTGAAGGGACACCCCTGCAAAATTGTGGAGATGTCAACCTCCAAGACTGGCAAGCACGGACATGCCAAGGTAAAAACTTTTAGTTTTTCAAGCTGTTTATTGTCACTCTGGTTATAAAAGATAAGAGCGTGGGGGGAAAAAATGTTTCATATTGTTCAGTGATTGGAGGATATATTCCTTTAAAGTGTGGTTAAGAAGCCCCGTCAAAATAAGAGCAGCTGTTCAGTAGCAGTGCAAAGTGTTAAATGGAGTTTGGTAATAAAAAACTGAACCAGTGTCAACGATGGCAGAGAGCTGAGGCTCAGTTTGGGCTTCTCAGATTTCAGCCCAGTCTGATCCGAGCCATCTCTGTGGTTCTTGCTTTAAAGTTTCTCTGAAGAACATTTAACTGGTTCTGGAACCAGTTTAGTCCTGATCCTCTAATCGGAATCGGCTTTATTGGCCATGTATGCGTGCGCATACATGGAATTTGACTCCGGTTACACATTACTCTTATCGTACATACACACATATGAAATATATACAATAAACAAGAGAAATATAGGAAAAACAAGGACATTTAACAGCTATATACAATATAAGTATAAATATATCCCAAACGTGTGTGTGTGTGTGTGTGTGTGTGTGTGTGTGTGTATATATGTGTGTGTGTATGTATATATGTATGTATATATGTATATGTATATGTGTATATATATAAAAAAAATACAATAGTACAAACGGAGGTAGTGCAATATGACTTATTTATTGTTCATGAGAGTGACGGCCAGTGGAAAGAAGCTGTTCCTGTGTCTGGTGGTTTTGGCGTACAGAGCCCTGTAGCTCCTACCAGAGGGCAGGAGTTGGAACAGCTTGTGTCCAGGGTGTGAAGGGTCTGCAGTGATCTTTCCTGCCCGTTTCCTGACTCTGGAGGTGAACAAGTCCAGGATGGAGGGCAGGCTGGAACCAATGATCCTCTCTGCAGACCTGACAATCCGTTGTAGTCTGTTTCTGTCCTGTTTGGTGGCCGATATCAGACCTCCATCAGTAAAGAGACCATCGGAGTGAAGATGGTCTGTTTCTATAGAGTTATTCTTAATGCCCGTCATCGGGGCCATCGGGTCGGATTCTGGTGAAAGCAGATGACATCCTGCAGGTTCACCAGAACCTCCTTCAGCTCAGACTCCAGCAGAGACCGGTCCACCGTGGACGGACCCAGATCCTCCAGCAGAGGTGGGTCTGCCCACCGTGGACAGACCAGATCCGGCTTCTCAGCAGCCTCGGACCTGCAGTCGGAGCTCCGGAGGGAGGAGGAGAGCTCAGCTCCCGGCAGCAGCAGCGTCTCCTCCTCCAGGAGCAGAGCTCCTCCTCTCTGGGACCCAGGACATATTGCTGGAGGTACGGGAGAACCAGGACTGAGAGGGGCAGACTAGACCCTGCTGCAGTAAAATGAGAGGTTTTCTAAAGAGACTCTGGTGCTCGGAGACACTACCACTTTCCTCTTCGGGGACCACCAAAAGAAGGTTCCTCGTTGCAGCATTAAGTAATGCACAGTCTCAACTTTTTCTTCCAACACTGCGGTTCTCCCACATGTACTTTGCTCTCTTTTTGGGCTCAACATGGATGGAAAAATTAAGATTTTGGCTATATATTTTGAAATGTGTGAAGTACATTTTAAATATTCTTATCACTTGACACTTGCTTCCTACACCGGGAGGGAAAACATGAGCTTTGGTTTCTTTATGATCGGTCCGTGGACTACCGATGGGAAAATAGCCTTGTGGCTAGTTACGGCTCATTTACAGCTATGTTTAATTTGTTCAGAATATTTAATTTATTGAAGTTTCGCATCATAATGTTGTTGTTTTCTGTCTGATTTGTTGTGCTGCGTTCATAAACCTCCTGTTTGGTCTCTTGATACCTGCACAGATGAAATACTTGACACTTTGTAATAAACCACATCTTGTTCTTTAAGGTTAACATGGTTGGTATCGACATCTTCACCAACAAGAAGCATGAAGATATGTGCCCCTCCACCCACAACATGGATGTTCCCTCCATCAAGAGGATAGATTACCAGGTGAGACAAACAACCCAGAACTCTTATCACACAAATGTAACTGCAGTTAACCAAAGGAGGACGTGAGCGCGGTCGTCTCTGCTGGCTTTTATTGAACTTTAAGTTCCGGACCTTTGGAATTATCAGACATTTTTGCAAAAAATATCAATGTCAGTCCTGCTCTTTCTTTAGAGTTTTGAGGTTGGAATAAGAACAATGTTTTCTAATGTGTCCTCACCGTCCCAGCTGATTAACATCAATGACGGCTACATGTGCCTCATGAGCGACACCGGTGACATCAGGGAGGACCTGCGTGTCCCCGACAGCGAAATCGGCAGAGAAATCGAGGGAAAGTTTGAAGCTGGTGACGAATTCATGGTGAGTGTAAATATAGTCCTTTTAGTGTGTGTGTGTGTGTGTGTGTGTGTGTGTGTGTGTGTGTGTGTGTGTGTGTGTGTGTGTGTGTGTGTGTGTGTGTGTGTGTGTGTGTG